GATTAACAATACACATTCTTTTGATTATCTAAATCAGATTTTCTTTCTTCTAACCCCCTGGAATTTCCTTTCACTTTGACGTTAGGAAAGTCCAATTTCTTCTTTTTTTTGTTGTTTGTTTATGCATAGGAATAGGTACGATTTAGGCTACGATTCTGAACCTGAAAGAACACTCTTAAGAGAGGCTAGACGTGCAAGACAAGCTGCACTAGAACAACAACTAAACATGGCAGCCGAAAATAATAATGATAATTTCAACATGGAGAACCAATATCAAGTCACTCTTGGGCAATACATTAATCCAACTGCTGAAAGTTATGGCAGCACTAACCGAAGACTAGCAATTCAAGCCAACAACTTCGAGCTCAAACCTTCATTAATTCAGTTGGTGCAACAAGACCAATTCAGTGGAAACTACCATGATGATCCTAATCTTCACGTAGCTAATTTTTTGCAGCTATGCGACACTCTCAAGATTAATGGTGTATCCTCTGAAGCCATCCGTTTGAGACTCTTCCCCTTCTCACTAAGAGACAAGGCTAAACAATGGTTTCAAGTTCAACCTCAAGAAAGCATTACAACTTGGGAAGATTTGGTGGCCAAGTCTCTGACCAAATTCTTTCCACCTCAGAAGTTAGCCAAATTGAGGCATGATATACAATCTTTTGCTCAAAAAGATGGTAAATCTCTTTATGAAGCTTGGGAGAGATACAAGGAGATGAGAAGGGAGCTGCCCAATAACGTTTTTTCAGAATGCCTACAAATACAAATCTTCTTTGATGGTTTGACATTACAGTCAAGAGCTCAAATTGATTCCTCGGTTGGAGGATCTCTTCATACCAAAACTGTGGAGGAAGTACAAGATTTAATTGAATTGGTTGCTAATAACCAATATTTGTACTCTACTCCTTCCGAAAGAAGCACTGTGAAAAGAGGAGTCATGGAGGCTGAATCCATTGACACTTTGGTGGCTCAAAACAAAGCCTAGCTCAGCAAATTAATTTGCTCAATAGGAAATTAGGAAGCATGCAGATTTCAAATGTGAACACACAAATTGATTCATGTGATTTGTGTGGAAATCAAGGTCATTCTAGTGATACATGTGCTTTAATTCAAGATCAACAATCAGTTGAGCAGGTGAATTATACGGGTAATGCTCCAAGACAACCAAATTTTGATCCTTACTCCAAAACCTTCAATCCCGGTTGGAGGAATTATCCAAATTTTGGGTGGGGAGGACAAGGAAATCAAGGAGAAAGGTGTTACAACAACAATTTCCAGGAACCAGCCCTACAATTACCAACCTCCCCCATTCAACCTTTTGTTTCTCAAAAGCTTTCTCAATTGGAAGTGGCCCTACAAAAGCTTACTCAATTAACTTCCACATTTATTGACAACACAACAAATTTTATGCATGAAACAAGGGCTAATTTCAAGAATCAGGAAGCTTCAATCAGAAATATGGAAGTTCAAATTGGACAGATTGCAAGGCAACTTAGTGAGAGGCCTCCAAACATCTTTCCTAGCAATACCATCCCCAATTCAAGGGAAGAGTGCAAGGCAATTCGAGTCATAGCAATGGAAGAAATTAAAGG